TGTTACGCCGAAGGGCGGTTATACCGGCTATACAGATACCGGTAGCTTCAGGTGTCAATTATGCTTTACGTAACATGCACCGATTCGATACTCTCTAGTTTCTACATTTCTAATTGTTTCCTTTTACGTCAAAGATTTAATGACCGAATCGTTTTGTGTATAAGTATAGATCAGTCCATGGACCATGGTCTTTTGGAGAGGTACATGGGATAATCAGCGAGTGCGTGTAGACGCCCTGTATGTTTTTTTTTTCTTGGATTTACCTCCGCTACGACAGTTTATATAAATGAAAGAAAGACCTTCATTGTACGTTTATGCTCTTACAAGCTACATGTAGGTACAGGTCATGAATAAACAGGGGAAAAGTTACAGTAATATAGTACTTAAACTATACATACTAATGTGAAGTACTATTTACAGGTTCAACTTCTTCTCGCTTCTTGAGGCAGTTGTAGATGTACATGTACGCACATATGGACCTAATGATACATGGTTTGCCAAGTTGCATAAGGAACATCTCTCTGGTCTAGGCTAGCGATCTACCGTCAAAGGTCTACGTTAAATTCATGAAGACAGCGGCCACGTATTACCTCCAATTCGCCAGGCTGGTTCCAGTCATTTCTCGTTAAATTCTGGCGTCAATCACCCTTTGCGTAACACGCATCGCCTACGCTCCAATTCACATTTTATTAGCCCGACGTCATGTCAAAGTTTTAATGAGCGGATCTTTTCGGATCGCGACCTTTTGAAAGAGGCATATCAGATACTCCCTAATCACGGAGTGGGCAGCAGAGCAGGGCGCAGTCTTCATTTTTTCTGGCCTCCGCTTCGATAGTTTGTATCCCTGGTGACAGAGTGTAAGGGCTCTATGTTAAATTCAGAATGACAGTGGCCACGTATTGCGTTAAATTGGTCAGGCTGGCTTACGTTGTAATTTAAAAATTCAGCCGACCAGTACGCTTTACGTAACATGCACCCCGTACGCTCCAATTCACATTTCAAATTGTTTCTACGTCATGTCAAACGTTTTAATGAGCGAATCGGTTTGTTTATATAATTGTTCCACGAATCGCGACCTTATATAAAGAATATGAGATAATCGCCGAGTGGCCAGCAGGATTGGGCGTAGCCTCCATAGCATGCCAAAAACTGGGGGTTTTGGGGGTCTTCATGGTCTTTGGGAGCTTTTATGTGCTATTTTCTGATTGCATATAGACAACATAGCCGGCCTGGTTGAATTACCCCCGTTTAGAACTGGGCTAATCAGAAAACAGCCGAAGACCACCAAACTCCAGTTCTATAAGCCTGCTACGGAGGCTAAGCTGGGCGTCGCCTTCATTTTTTTTCTCTTCTCCGCTTCCATAGTTTATATCCCTGTTGGCAGACCTTCAGCACTCTAGGTGAAACTCGGGATGAAAGCGGTTACGTATTAAGGTAAATTGGGCTGACTGGTTTCATATTCAGTCACTTCGAATTCATGTTTAATTCATGCACCGATGACTTTTTATATAACATGCACCGAGCACGCTCTGGTTCACACTTTAACTCCTTACTGCGTCAAAGTTTCACGAGAGAATCATCTTGTTTTGCCCAAGGAAGGACAGGGCAGGGCCAGGTCTTCAACACGATGACGCACAGAATGTACAGAACACAAGACACAGATCGCCACAGGGGAACAGTTTAATTGGCACGGCACTTTAGCTTATGGAAAGGGCACATTTACAAACAGGGTCCCGGCTGGGCTGCTTGCGTCAAGCAATTTATAAAAATAGTAGCCATCATTATTAATTTTTTAAACTTTTTGTGTTTTATGAAAAGGGCACATTTCTAAACCGGGCCCGGTCGGGCTGCTTGCGTCAAACGATTCTTAACAATATATAAAAATAGTCTACTCATTATTAATTTTTTTTCAACTTTTCTGTGTTTCTTGTCTTTTATATCTTAACCTTTTCGTTCGTGGAAACTGCGAGACCGGCCGGGGGCTCTGGTCTTGATCTTGGGGGTTAAGGTAGCCAACATCAACTTGCTGATGATTCTGCTACACTAGTATTTGGGCTGTAGAATTTTTGGACCATCGCACACCGGGGCATGCCCCTACTCTTTTTCGAAAGGTGTGGTGGGATCTTTAACGTGCTCGAGGTGTGGCTCTCCTCAAACACGGGACCTCCAGTTTACGTCCAATCTTAGGGACGTCCCTAATCGAAGCTTACACCTGAGTGAAGTGAGGAAATTCGTGTAAAGTGCCTTTCCCAAGGGCACAAGATCGATGACATGGGTGGGGATCGAACACTGGACCTGTAGGTCCCGAGTCGAACGCGCTACCGCTGCGCCACACGACCCCACAACCTCTTGGGGGCTGCCATAACCTCTGGCTTATTGATGAGCAAATCATTTTGCTTAGCCTGGGTGCCAGACGCTGGCTTTTATAAGCGATAGATTTTTTTGTGGGGAGAAGCCCTAAATGTCAGTTTATAACAGTTGATTCATAAAAAACTGCCTCACAGCCTGTACAAAAAACATGCTGAATAACACTGGGAACAGCAATTTACGTTAGGGTAGGGCAAGTTCAATTTCACAATGACATTTACCGGCCGCGTTTTCTCCGCTTCGATAGTTCATTTCTCTGTAGATGACGCACAAGATGTACGGAGTAAGACACAGGTCACCACACAGGAACAGTTTAATTGACTCAGCTGTTTAGCTTATGTCTTAGGGCACACTCACTTACAAAAACGGGGCCCGGCCGGGCTGTTTGCGTCAAACAATCATCGAGTAAGCTCTGATTCGATAGTTCATTTTTCTGTAGATGACGCACAAGACGTACAGAACAAGACCCAGGTCACCAAACAGGAACGGGTTAATTGGTAAGCTCTGATTCACATTTCAAATAGTTTGTACGTCAAAGTTTAAAAAGCGAATCATTTTGTTCCAGCGTGTGGCCATGTGAGCAGGGCAGAATAGGGCAAGTTCCACTTCAGACTTTTTTGGTTAGCCCACAGAGACCACATCACAAACAGTGATGTACGGAACAGAGCCAAGCAAGACTTTATCCCGAGTCTTGCTTGTCTCTGTTCCGTCCTTCACTGTTTGAGATGTGGTCTCTGTGGGCTAACCAAAAAGTCTGACAAGTGGGACAGCGACAATCTTTGTCTAGCTAACCAATGGGACAGCGACAATCTTTGTCTAGCTAACCAATGGGACAGCGACAATCTCTGTCTTACTAACCAATGGGACAGCGACAATCTCTGTCTTACTAACCAATGGGACAGCGACAATCCCTGGACATTGGGCCAGGGATGTCTGGCCTTGGGAGGTAAGTCATGACCTTTTGGGGCTGTCTAGTTTTTTTTACAAGCCACTTTCCCATGTCTGAATGGGGGCAGCGAGAAAAGGTCGTGAATTTTACCTCCCAAGAGCTGCACGGAGATTATCGCCATTATATCACCATCCAATCACCCACGCGTCCGTCCCACACATCACAGGAGGGGGGCTTGTTTACTAATCACTCAGGTTATGGTCACACACGCCCCTGTCACTCATAGCTAAATACTAGCCTCCATAGCATACCAAAAACTGGGGGGTTGGGGGGTCTTCATGGTCTTTGGGAGCTTTTATGTGCCTTTTTCTGATTGCATATAGACAACATAGCCGGCCTGGTTGAATTACCCCCATTTTTTTTTAACTGGGCTAATCAGAAAACAGCCGAAGACCACCAAACCCCCAGTTCTATAAGCCTGCTACGGAGGCTAATCAGAAAACAGCCGAAGACCACCAAACCCCCAGTTCTATAAGCCTGCTACGGAGGCTAATCAGAAAACAGCCGAAGACCACCAAACCCCCAGTTCTATAAGCCTGCTGCGGAGGCTAACTGAATATGACCTCCCGAAGGCTGCCGAACTCCCCTAGGGTTGCTAGTCTGCTGTTTTTACCAATACACCGGTTGGTTGATTGATCGTTTGATTGATATACTTGATTGATTGATTGATTGATAATTGTTTGTTTGATTGATTGATTGATTGATTGATTGATTGATTGATTGATTGATTGATTAGATGGTTGCTTCATTGATTGACTGACTGACTGGCTGACTAATTGACTGACTGAATGAATGAATGAATGAATGAATGATTGATTGACTGACTGACTGACTGACTGAATGAATGAATGAATGAATGAATGAATGAATGAATGAATGAATGAATGAATGAATGAATGAATGACTGACTGACTGACTGACTGACTGACTGACTGACTGATTGACTGACTGACTGACTGATTGATTGATTGATTGATTGACTGGTTGATCTCTTGCTCGGAGAGTTAAGGAGACTAAAATTACTAATATTCTCTTGAAAATGTATTTTGTTTATAAGATTGTAATAAAATCATATACATAACTTTTACTCATTTGATTTCAGCTGGTATTCATGACCCATATCTACAGGAAGAATAACGTTGCCCCGTTGTGTGTATAACCTAGCTTATATGAAGAAGCTAACAGTACCTCAAGACAAAAGCAACATCGACAAAATCAGTTTTCAGATATGATTGATTTTATTAGACAGCTTCAATCCGCTGTTAGCGGTGGTTATACAAAATAAACACCTGTTGGACACTTCCAGGCGGTGGTTATACAAAATAAACACCTGATGGACACTTCCAAGCAATGGTTATACAGAATAAACACCGTGGACACTTCCAAGCGAGACCAGGACACATCTTACATGGTTTACAAGCTGTGAAATGTATCTGATGGCTCATTTAGGTCTGATTTAATAACAAAGACTCATGATCACTGATAACGTTACATCAACAAAGTCTATTGATCTTCAGTAGAAAAAACATCACAAGTATAACATAGCTATTTACCGTAAAGACAAACTTATCTAGTAGAGTCTTTCGTCTTGTATAGTTTCCTGGACAGAGACACCACATAGTACAGGTACAGGGTAAAAGTCCTAACGGTAATCTTAGTTATCTAGTTTTTTCCTTTCTTTTAAGTTCTCTTTTCTCTTATTTTTTCCTAAGAAAACACGTCGTCGTTACTGGAGTTACTGGTGCCTCTGCTCTTGAGCAGCTTTTTCAACGTGCTGATGGTTTTTGACGCGCTGGATCTTCTCTTTTCCGAACTCTTCTGCTTGTTGTTAGAGTCTCTGTTTTCGCAGGTTTCCACACTGTTCAAGAGGGCGAGGAAAATGTCGTAGACGTTCCGGTTGTACTTGGCGCTGGTCTCCAGGAAGGGGCATCGCCACTCTTCTCTGGCCGCCGTGACGGCCTCGTCCTTCTGCACCTCCCTGTCCACCGCCAGGTCCGACTTGTTCCCGACCATCACCAGCGGGATGTTCTCGGTACCTGCGCGGGAAAAGAACAAGGGTTCGATTAGTCACAAGGTCAAACAACATGGCGGACTTCATGCATGATGCCTAGGCATGATGTTTCTGACTTAGGGAGAAGAGATTCTGCTAAATTTTAGTTCAGTGCCTAGAAGTGGTCCATGTGGCCATGCACTGAGCAAACTCGTTAAAAAAATAACAACTAACGTTACTGTTTTCCTTCAGGGTCAATGTCAATGAGAAAATGACCGGAGTCACGTGAGTATACTGACCTTTGACATTCACGACGAGCTTGCGCAGTTTGTGCGCCTCCTTGAAGGACTCTGCGTCGTCGATGGAGTAGACAATGATGAATCCGTGGGCGGTCTTGATGTTTAACTCCTGCATGGCGGGGAACTGGTGCGTGCCGCCCGTGTCCAGGATCTCTATGCTGTGCATGTTGCCGTCTGGAGGGACAAGAGAAAAATACAGGTCAGAAACGTCGACAGTCATTGCACGGACAACAAACATCACATTTCACTTGTTACATTTGCATATCAATCAATAGTTCGTACTTATGAGCCTGCTTTTCTGACTCTCCTGCAACTTTCCAGTTCAGAAAATTAGTAGATCTGGACATGGACATTTCCTCCGCAGCTTACTTTACCATAGGAACTGTTTGTGGTACTAAAAACGCGGCTGTTGTGCTAAAAGCGTTCACTTTGCTAAAACCGCAGTGTCACTGACGAAATATAGTGAATGATACCTGAAACATCTGACCGTTTCCAATTGCTTGAGTAACAGCTAGTTTTTTGGTGTATGTCGTTTTAACCTCCTTGGTGAGAACTAGTAACGGTTTCATTTTTTTTGCGTATCGTGTTACACGTTTGATTTCTCAGTTTTATACCGATGTCGTTCTACAAAGTGCTTCCGACGCTTCTGACTTCCAAACGCAGATCCGGGATCTCCCGCGGCGCGAGTCACTTCCGCAGCGCTGACGCTCGGCCCGCCGGCGGACGCACGGTGACGTCAAGCGCGCGAACGGGAGAAGGCGAGACGGCAACACCGCTGTCCTACATGCCATATTTGGGGATGAGTCCATCCCTGCCTACGTCAGATCGAACCTCGCGACACGTCAAAATAAAACACAATCACCTTGTGAAAGGTTCCGCCAAGTGAGCGCTTCCGTATCATTTATTGGACATTTGGAGGTTCTAGAAATCGAATATATTTGCCAAGAACTGTCGCTCTAAAAGCGGAATATCTATTTCAATCATCTCTAAGACTGAATAAGAAATCTCTTTAAAGATCACACGACGCGTGAAATCTAAAAATCGGAAAGCAGATCCGCGTTGAAAATTCAACAAGGATTGGCACCAACTGACATTTGTCAAAGACTTGCTGCCCTGAATGCTTTATATCTATTTCAATGCTCCCTGAGACTGGATAAGAAATTTTTCTCAGAACGTTTTACATCTAACAGTTGACACGGCGTTTTAAATCTAAAAACCGAAAAGCAGACCCAACAAGGAATTGCACCACTTATTCTCTCGTCACAATATAAAATATCTTAGACACGAGTGAGGACATGTGTTGTCTGTGCCGCCTGAGGTTGAAGTATTTGTCTCAAGTGGTGACTAAAGTGGGGTCGCGTGGCATAGCGGCAGAGTGCTCGACTCGGAATCAAGAGGTCCTGAGTTCGAGTCCTGACATGGGGCCGATCATGTGCCATTGGGAAAGGCACTTTACACGACTTTCTTCACTTAACTCAAGTGAAAATGAGTATTGTCTCGTCCTGTATTCGTCCTCTGCGTTGGTGGCGGCATTAATATAAGTTGAAAAAAAACTTGAGTGCACCGTCACCACGCCTTGTGATTAGATGTTGGAATATAAAAAAGTAGGTGAAAATGAGTATTGTCTGTCCAGTATTTGTTTCTATGTGCAGGACACAACACCAGCAACAGCTGCTCTGTTCCGCGTATATTGCATTGTTGCAATTTCAACTAGAAAGGCCAATATTTGCTTTGGAGCAAATATAGCGATGGGTTCACCACATTTTACCACATGGCAGGGAAAGAATGAGAAACACAAGGGAAAACAATGCTTTACATTGATATAACTATAGTATGAAGTAACATACAACTAAGACTACAACAGTTGGATAGCTATTCCCTACATTATTGGTTAGGATTGCATAATGCAAACTGTTGATTTTCAAGATAAAAAGAAGCGTTCATAGCCCGCATTCCAATGCTGGAGCAGGAAAGCTTAAAATACCTACCAAAACACTTGAATACAGACATACTGTCAGTATGGCATGGCTCTGTGCAGGTGTAAATGAAGTTAAGCCAGTTAAATCCCAACAGCCAATCAGCAAGGAGAATAGAGGAAAGCTGCATGCCTATTGGTTGATGCCTTGCATGCCATTGTGATGACTCATGTCCAAATGTGGTAAACACTGCACACTTACACAGTAATACATTAGCTATTACACAGCCAAAAAACTCAAATAAAACCATTCTAAAAGCCTGTATCACAATAATTTAAAAAACGCCTAGGGGTATTTGCCCACTGTACCTCCATACCAAATTTCAGGACCTTAGGCCCTAAAATGAAGAAGCTGAATCCATTTAAATATATGGCAGGAGGAGAAGGAGAAGGAGAAGAAGAAACATCAGAAAAAGCAATATGGTTTCACCACACCACTTCGTGGTGTGGTGAACCCATAATAAAATAAAAAAAGTATCTGTCTCAAGTGTTGACTGGGCTCTCATATAGCCGCTCGTAATCTGGGTAATTGGGCGTGAAGTTCTGCTCTGTGGCTCTGTAGAACGATTAGCACCCGTCTGATAACCTGAGCTTCAAACTGCGGGTCTCATTACCCAGCTCTGCAGCCGCAGGCGAGACAATTAGGACTACAAAGCGCTCAGAGCCGTCCACATGTGGATAATGAGAGGCTGAAAAGGTCAGCATTCGTGTGTATCAAACAGGCGGGCGGCTTCAATGGAAACAATCATCGGTAATGAGATCGTTTTTTTCTTTCAGCGAGATGCCCTGTTTTTTCAGACATCGTTCCCAAACCTTGTTTGAAATCTTTCTACAGTGACAGTTTCTTCCCCCGTACGGCCAAGCTTTGGAATTTCCTCCCTGACAAGTGTTTCCCACCAACCTACAATCTACAGGCTTTCAAATCAAACGTTCACCGCCATGTCTTGACATAGCCATGTTTCTCTCATCTTTCTAGTTCAATGCCGAGAGGTGGTCGTATAGGCCTTGCATTGAACTACTCCGTTAAAAAAACACGATGTTCACGATACTATCATTTCTGTCAGCAAAAAGCTTCTGTTACTCCAGTGTATTGCAGTTTTAGAGTGCCTGTTTGGAATTGAAAGTCTATCTTGATAATGAAAAGCAGCTTGACTTTGGTAGGAGTCACCTTTACTGTACCCCTGGAAGAGCTGAGATCTTGATAACATAGGTTTACTCGAGCAAAGAAAATTACAGATCCGAAATTGACTTTGACTCAAAATAAAGTGCTGAAAAAGTGTTGCGCTTTCTGAGAAAAACACTTCGAGCTGAAAGTCAAGTACAAGCAAGTGTCATAGTTTATTAGAGGGCGTGTGAAGTAATGCACTGACATTTATGATGTGATGTTTAAGTCACTCAGAGCCAAGTCAAGTGTTTTCCCTGACTCTTGGACTACTACAATTTATATTGTAGAAGGCGTTGATTAATACACTGACATTAAAAACCGTGTAGTAAAAACACTTAAATTCAAGTCTCTGAGTATCCATGAGAGTTAATTAAAGGCTGGTTGAGTCATTGTCTGACATTACTGAATATTATAGCAAAGTCACTCAGAGCCAAGTCAAGTGTTTTTCCTGACTCCAGGACTCCTACAGTTTATTGTAGGAGGGGTTTGTAATACACTGACATTAAAAACACTTAGATTCAAGTCTCTGAGTATCCATGAGAGTTAATTGGGAGGCTGGTTGAATCATTCCCTGACATTACTGAATCGTACGATACTAAAAGCACTTAAAAAGTCAAGTCTGAGTACCGTCTGGGAGTGAAATGTTTCATTGGAGGCGTTCGGTAATGCAGTGTGACATTACAGACGGCGAGAGGAGTTGATCCTTTTAACCCCGATCTGTTGTAACTCCACTTGACGCGCAGAGCTCCGGCCCACTCGCGGGACTTGCTCGCAAAGCTCAACCTTTGGAAAATTAGGACGAATAATCAGACATGTCGCCTGCTCTGTTGTGTAACCAGGGATGCACGAAAATAGCCATGAAATTGGGGCAAAAAAGTAGACTTTTAGAAGAAAAAAATGGTAAAGTGTAGGACGTCACCTTCTCTATTGTGTAACCTCATCAGGGCTGCACGAATATAGTCATCAAATTGGGGAGATAGACTTTTCAGCATAAAAATACCACTCGAAGAAAAGCCCAGCCTTTGTAAATTTAGGACGAATGAGCAGGCTTCGTCTCCCCTATTGTGTAACTTAGAGTCTCAACCAGAGATGCACGAAAATAGTAATTAAATTGAGGAGACTTTTCAGCATAAAAATACCACTCAAAGAAAAGCTCTTCTGTTGTGTAACTTAGAGTCTCTACCAGGGATGCACGAATATACTCATCAAATTGTAGAAATTGACTTTTCTTTAGAAAAATTGCCACTCTAAGATTTCAATACACTGGAGCAGCAGTATCCCGCTGGCTGAAATTATGAGCATATATAGATATTCTATATCCTTCAGCTGTGTGTATTAACGGCGCGGAGGGGAGTTGAAACTTTGAATAGCGTCTCTGCTTTTCACACTCTGCGGTGTGATTTAGTGCTTAGTAGTGGTCTATTCCCCCCGAGCAAATTCGCTTAAACATGCTCAAGAATAGAGCATTACAAAACTCGATTTCTCGGAAAGAGAAGGATTAAAGCGCAGAAGGACGCGCGTGTTGTGCTGCTTATCCAATATCTGATCCAGCCAGCTCGCCTGACCCAGATAAAAGGCTTTCAAAGTGTGGGCCGATGTCCCGACCAGGGCTAGGGCTGAGCTTGTAACAGACCCGCTTGAAGTGTAAAGTGCTTAGCGGCTGTTTTCAGCGGCAATTTATGAGTCAGCAACTGTTTTTTTTTGTCAAGGCAACAGTGATCATGAGTGGTCTAATCCTTCTCTGGTCGTGGCAGAGAAGACAGGCTCTATGTACAGTATTTACAGGTACTGGAGAAATTCCGCCATTCGTTTTTACAGGTGCAATGAACAGTGGACCACGGCTTAACACCACGTCCTAATGACCGTTTCAAGTAACATGCATATTGAGTAAGTGACAAAAAAAATGGATTTAAACCTCTTGGTCTAGAGAAAGGGTCGCTAACCACTGGACCACGCACGCTGTGTGTCTGGTAAGTATTGCGAGGAAGGCTTCGGGGCCAGCTATGCTTGTAGCTACTGGCCGGGCGCCAAGGGTTTCCTAATCTATTCCTAATCGGCGCGATTTTGACTTTCACAAAACGAACGAAAAGGTCTCTTACGTAAACCATTGCAAAACAAAGGACCGCGCTTTGTTTAAACACGAACATGTACTTCTCCGGATAAAACACAGACTGTTTTCTGTGATAAGCTTTTTTGTTCTTTTTGAAGGCAAACATTAGTCTGACGTTGGCGTGTTTTTGACTAAGCTTAAATGCCGGGCGGGCTGAATCATACCCATGTGCCACCTGGAATCTACAAAGCTCGAAACCAGACCTAGATCTAAGTGCAACCGGCGGATTCTCCGTCATTCTTGTTCAAACATCACCTTGGAGTTTTAAAACAAACACCCAGACGCCATGTCTCTGAAGTAGTTGGGGGAACTTGCGCAAGCGGATTTCTACTGTAAAGGCGGCTGTATGTTTACTCTACTACCCCACAGGTAGAAAAACACACAGGGATTTTCCGCCGCGGTTTTTTTTTTGTGGAGTCTTGCTCACATTTCCGTCCTTGTTTTCTGATCAAACGCCTGTTAATACCGGCACGCGGTGCTCAGTATATATCAGGCCACCAACTGAGATGTCTAAAGATGGTTCCAGTTTTTGTGGGTACTGTTTATGCGGGGCAGCTTAAAAAAGACTGGCCGGGACAAATAAAACTGTTCACGCTAGTTTAAACCTGTATTTTTCTTCTGGTCTCTCAGTCACTGACGAAAGCTAGTGGATACTAGCTGAAACGTCTGACCGTTTCCAAAAATTATATCCAAGTTGCTTGAGTAACTGCTTTGTGGTGTTAGCGCTAGTATTTAAACCTAGATCATGCATGTAGAGAAATTGCGTGGCGCGACGCTGCTTGCTTGATCTGTATTGCGCTTATGTCAACAACAGTCTCCGCCTGTGTAATGTGAATGCCCGGCCACCGCTTCTCCCGTATTGTCAAACAACAATTACATGCTTCTGTATCGCTTGTGTCTACGGTTCAATGATTGTATCTATGACTTCTATAGTCCTAAAGCCTGCCCAACGCTAACCTTGTCGCTATTTGAGCGTTATAGCCAATGGAAAGCATTGTGCACAACAGCCGGGAGTTCAGCACCACGGAAAGCTCCAATGGTAAATTTAGCTGCATCGGAAAGTTATCCATGCCAGGTTCAGATCTATTCATTTTCTGAACTAGAAAGGTAAAAGCAAACGATTCCTAGCTGGAAGTTGGCTTAATTGCAGTAAACACCGATCACTGTCCTATTTTACACGAATCATACAGATAATATTTCAATGCCTTTATACTGATTAAGATTTTGTATCTATGACCTCCTAAAACTTACTGACAATAAGGAAATCGAACTGTTCATACCTGGCAGGTGCAGGAAGTGCCGGTAGCAGTCTTCCACCGTGGGTTCGTAGAAGGTGTTGAAGACGCCCCGCATGAACTGGCTGACCAGCGAGCTCTTCCCCACGCCGCCGGCGCCCAGCACCACCAGCCGAACCTGCTTCATCGGGCCGCGCATTTCCAGGAGGGAGCCTCGGAGAGAAAAAAATCTGCACGGCAGGAGGAGGAGAAAAACTCGTTAGACAAACCGAACTAGTCATTGATGCAGGTCAACGCACCATAGAAATAGTCCGTGCAACGAGCTGGGAAGGTTTGGGGCCTGCAATGGATCCCATACCTAGGGAAAATTTTGCAGTGGATTCTGTACCTGAGATCTCTCTGGGAAGTTTTGTTGCTGAAGAGGATCGCACACCCAGTACTGAGACAAACAGCCAGACTACTGTGCAGCTCCTGTACCTGAGACAGACTACAGGCTACTGTGCAGCTCCTGTACCTAAGACAGACTACAGGCTACTGTGCAGCTCCTGTACCTAAGACAGACTACAGGCTACTGTGCAGCTCCTGTGGTGTTTAGAGCTTTAATGCCAGGCGCGGTGTGGGCGGCGCGGCGTGGAAATGTCTCTAAATGTCACGGAGATGAGGCCGACTCCGGCTGCCAAGGCTACGGCGATAAAGGCTTAACCAGCGCGAACCAACGCCAAGATCAGGCTAGGCCCTGCACGGGAGGCCGGTTTACAACTTAGTGGGGACAAATACCTTAGCGGGGACAGACAGTTTAGCAAATAGCAGTGGTTTTTACTTTCCAATACACGCCCTTTTAAGCCCAGAA